TGCTTTTGATATCCACGCTTTTACGTAGACATTAACACTTTCGAACTCTTAAATGATCATCTCATATGAACTAAAATTCTCCTCACCACATGATGAAGTGTTTTGTTCTCTTCATGCGGCATTTTATCCTCAATAGTAAGACCATCCTTGTCCATCAACTTTATATGCTGATATTCCAAATTGAAACTATGAAGAGTAATCACATCTGTATTATTCACCACTTGGAAAATGAGCGTTTGAATCCCATCAAACGTCATATTCCTGTCTGTAAACACCATTTGTTACAAACGTTCGAAATTTTCTCCAACTATCAAAACTCTGCTATGATTGATAACTGTTCATGAAATCAATGTATGAAAATGATGATAAAATCATGAAATCAGACACTGACATTATGAAGTATCAGATGCCAACATTTAATCTGCTATTACATGGAACTGTTAGGGAAAGACTCAAACGAATTCCGACTTGGTGGTGATAGTTGCATCGAATGGTATTGTCTTGAATGACTTCAATTAACCTATCCTTCCATGCTCATTGCGTATCGTTNAAGTATGGTCGGATTCGTACATAATAATGCAGTGGTGTTATCACATGCGGTATTCGTCGCATTCGTTCATCCTTCGTTCCGGGCAAATCTGCTAACACCCGTGCTTTCGAGCGTTCATGCAGTTGCACATCGGCCAATTGCAACTCTGATGGATCATCTTAAAACGAGTCAGTTGATCAACAATTTGATAGCAGAGGATGATATCAAGAGTGATTTATACTCTTCCAGTTGAAATTACTGTGAGAGTTCCCCTAAAGGTGTTTAAATGAATATAATTACTGTAGGAATACAATGAAGAGTCTCTTCCTCATATTCATGATTGTTCTGATTATAATTGTTACTATCATCATTATTTGCATTATTCTTGACATTTTTTAAACTAACGAATGGAGTCTTTAAATGCAGAAAAAAAAAACAACTTACATTTGCTTTCGAGTGGAGTATAGAGTGAACTGAGTACGATTGGTACAGCCGAGATGAGCAACAGCCAAAGTGAGGATGACATTGAAAGCGTATTGGTGCGTTTGAGGACAGTGCTTCTTGCTTGACGGTAGTTACTTGCCTCGTTCAGTCAACCAAACTGCCAATGAGTTCGACCATGCAATGATGACCAATTTAAGGTTTGTTTGCTTGAAGAAGATGCTCTTTGTTCATGTCAACAGCGATTTA